TTTATTCCATTTTAGTCAACACAAGTTTTGACTAGGAATATCATATCTTGAGGAAATCCATACACTTCCATATTTAGAAATATCATCATTGATCTCAATCTCCATCAATTAAATTAACCAAGACCTAATGGTCAATGGTACAAACCTCGAACTTGTCATATTAGTTCGATAAACTGTCTAAACAATGTTCAATTGAATTTAATCATGTTACACAAATATGCAAATTGGCAAAGTGGAATATAATTATGGACAAATAATTCATTCAAATTCCTTCCACTATATTTACATGCTAATCGCACTTTTAAAAACCAGAATATGCACCTTCATCATGGATGTAAAAGTGTGAAAGTACACAACTTTTCACACTTGGAAAAGACCAAAACGTATATTCATTATTTTTATGTAATCAACATGAACAATAATGTTTCCATGACAGTTATAAAATGAACAGTCATCAAAATCATAAATTAGACAACTTTCCAAAGCAAACGCAAAATCAAATGGTTTCTTCCATGTGCACATAAAGTTCAAGAAAGTTCTCTTTTTAGAACTTTCACATAATTCAACCACTGCCTTTCAAGATTTATAGAATAGAAGCAATGCCCATGTACATAAGAGACACGTAAATTGATTAACAAATGCAAATAATGGCCATTTAAAGAATATACTCATTTTCAGGTTACTGTTATCTCTTCTTTTTCATCACCATGTGTTTCCATAAACTAGGTCATATTCTTAATTATATACATCACATGCAAAAGGTAGGATACTTCTTTTGTCATTTAATATACAAACAAATGAGGTGCCAACAATAAAACTGCCAAAGTTTCCGCAAGAAAATATGCAGTACGAAATGTGAAACCAAAACTTTCATACATATTTCTGACTTGATAAACTTAAACATACACCAGAATATTTAAATCCACCATTTCATACTACATCAAGGTAGACATTTAATTATATATTCTTGGTTTTTGTTTTCACAAAGCAAAAAATCATTCGTATGCATTAATTATATTTTTAGCCACCACTTGCCATTAAAATATAATTTACACCACATGAATCGACGGCCATTAATTTTATTTTCTTGACATATAATTCCTAATTCATATGCACAACAAATACCAAAATTCATCTTAAGATTGTAGGAGATATTACATTAATAATGTGCATATTATATTCATCAAGAAAATGCCATTAATATGCTTGAAGTCAAAATATCATTAGACTTACCGAAATCTAATTTGAGAAGATAAATTAGTGAATTACCGACTTCGAATATATAAATATGGATTCATCAC